AGGTGTCAAATGCACAGAAAGGTGATGGGATATCACAGGAAGTCAGAGTAGACTGGAGAACAGGTCAGATGCTAACCCTCTAAGCTCTCGTAAGTACTGCTTATGTTCTACATAATTGTACTGATGCACTGAAGGCTCCAATCCTTTCCCATACTTTGTATCCATGCTGATCAACTCCAATGTATTTTATACCTCACCTGTAGGCTAGAACCTCCAGCATGTCAAATTAATAACTTGCCATACCATCTGCCCTTCAGAATCCTAAACTGCCTTGACTTCCCGGGCCTATGCAGAGCAGCAAAGCACTGCTATAGGAAAAGCAAGCCACCTGCCTCCGCTGATTCCTGACAGCTCATGCCACAGTGAACACTTCCAACCAGTTTTCTCTGCCCACCTCCTTCACTAACTGTTCTCAAGCGCCCCTACCCGTCACTGCCAGAAGCCTTGCCGTGCCTTCCAAGTGGCATGGCAGCGAAGCACTGCTGATGTCTAGAACACCAACAAATCAGAAAATACCAAAGAGTGAAAAAATTAAAACTACACAAGCAGATAAATTATAGAAAAAACTAGCACAGTTTACCATAGGAACAGACCACATGTGACCCCACAGAACTCTAGTGAATCTCACCGCAGTCTATCTGCATGTACTCACTACGCATCCACACTCCTGATATATTGTAGAAATACCTTCTTTGAAGTAGTCAGAGGGAGACCCACTCTATCATCTTTTCTCATGTTCAAAAATGAATACATTAAATCTATTCAGCCTCTCTGGACTCTACTGAGTGGATACTGATGTATATTACTCTACTAGTCAGAATGCAATCTTAGAAACCCATTTTTAAAAATTGAACTGACCATTTAAAACTGACTAATTCTGTCATTCAAAAATAAGAAAATCACTGCCATGATTTAAAATTAAGGTGATAAACTGGCTGGATTTTTGCATACTGCAGTCACAGCACAATTGTACACTCAACAAGAAAAGCAAATATTAAGGAAAACCGAGAAGGTTTTGGTCTCTAATCATGCACTAGCCAAGCAGCCCACTCATTAGTCTGGTTGTTTTTACTGTTTCTATCAGGGGTTGTTTCAAATAAACTTTCCAAATGTAAAATTACTTCATTAATCAACTTTAAAAGTAAAATGGATTGAAAAGACCCATGTTTGAAATCTGAGAATACAGTAAAAGGCATAAAAAGAAACAAAAAATGAAAGTTCTTAAAATTTGCACTTAGAATTTGTTTTGGAGCTTGTTGAAATGATTCCTAAAAATTCATCTGGAAGCATAAAAATAAGAAGGGGCCAAAAATATTTTAAAAAGAAAACTTATGTGGACGGACTTGAACTATAACAGCAAATATTAAAACACATTAAGAAGCTATAATAACTACAATAATGCAGGGCTGGCAAAGGAAGAGAAAAGTCAATGGAACAAAACAGAGAGGCAAGGGGAATCATTTATTATCTGATAAAGGTAGAGTTTCAGTTGTGAAGGAAGGAAGGTTTATGTAATTTGTGGTGGTAGACCCCCTCCCTGACAATATAGAACAACAAAGTGGATTAATATTAAACTGTGGAAACCAAAACCTGAAATATAGGAAAGTGCACGAAATTAAGAGGACTTCAGGTCAAAAGCGGAAGCAACAAGGCAGCGTACAACTGACTAAGCTACATTTAAAAAGAAGAAAAAAAGGAAAACTTACACTAAACAACCTTAAGGGTGCTGCCAAGTGCTGGGAGAAGGGAATGCCAAGGGAGATCCTCAAAGGAGGAAGCTTTTTAAGACACTGAAAGTTCTTAATAAACTACAGAAAACCAAGACGTTGGTTAAAAAGACAAAAAAAAAAACTGTCTGAGAATCAGAACATAAAAACATACACAGGAAATGTAAGTGACCAACTATGCTGAAGCTCAGTGGCCAAGCAGTTTGACAACACAAAGCCATGTTGATGGGCAGGGGTAGGGGTGTCGTCTCTCAGAATAAGGTAAAGATGTAAATCAGTTCAGCTTCCTTAAAAGAAAATTAAAAAGTTAGTACCAAAAAGGTTATTAAAAACTTCTTCTTTGATTTTAAGGTAATAGGTGCCAATATTTTATTTCATAGTTTTAGTAACACTGGAAAACTTGATTAATAAAGACTAAGACCACACACGCTGTTCAGAATATACTGAATGGGTACAAAAGATAGTCATTACAAAAGTGAGTAGTAACTACAGATTACTAAGAACCACGAAAATAGAAAAAAGCTAAGAATAGAGGTGCTGGAGAGATGGCTTAGCAGTTAAGAGCATTGACTGCTCTTTCAGAGGACCCAGGTTAGAGTCTCAGCACCTACCTGGTGGCTCACAACCAACTGTAACCCCAGTTGCAGGTGATCCTGCACCCTCTCTCGCTCTCTCCAGCACCAGGCAAACAAGTGGATCCCAGACAGACTTGCAGACAAAACCGCACACACACAAAATAGAACCACAAGGAATCAGCTCCCATACATCCACATTCCTGGTACACAACTTGCCCTTGGCAAGGGCCACAGTAGACAGCTCCTTTCCTCTGGCTGTGTGAGCCTTCTACCTCCTCTAGCTCATAGAACTCAGGAGCTGCCCCCAGGCTCTTTTTCTTCTGTTTATTAAGGCTGGCACTTTGAATTTATTAACTGAACTAAACAATTTTCATTGTGATTGACAACTAGTTAGTTTTCGGTGAGACCACTCCTTGAAAAGAAAAAGACTAAGTAATGTTCCACAGTTAGACAGCCTGTAGCCAAAAGACAAACATCTTACTACTAGTTAATAGATAGGGAAGGTGGCAGCAACAGAGGACTGAAACAGCAACATCAACAGGCTTAACTATGAAGCAGCAGCAGCTAGGATTTGGAGTGAAATTCCTGCAGTATGCGGGGGATTAAGTGTGGACCAAGCATTGCATGCGTACTGACTTCACTCATGTAGCATCTGAAGCCTAAAACTTTTAAAGCAATGGGATATACTGACAAATTTAAAACAATTCCCCTCATTTGGACTCCAGTTCCCTTTCTGAGGAAAAATTCATAAAGGGAAAAACTTCAGTCTCTCCATGCTGAATGTACTATTAGGAGTGGCCTCTCCCTGAGGTCTAAAATGAAGGAAAAGTGCACACTTATTCCAGAGTCACAGCCAACAATAACCTTTACATTCTGAACCCAGCTTAGGTAGATCGCTTGGGAAGATGTGTGCAAAAGTATTTAATTCAAAGTACTGAATTTAGCTTTTCTTTTGCTCAACTTTCTTAAATGGTCTTAGGTCTATCAGAAATAAATATTAGGCAGAACCACCCCTAAGTTTCTGTTTTCCTTTTATAGAGCTGGTTTTATAACTCAGAGGTCAATTTCACAGTCCACATGGTGCTTGCTATAAATACTAGTTTTGGCCATGAGGCCTGAAGACAGCAATGAGTGGCAGATAAATGTGTGAGCATCACTGACGTCCAAGGAAACTTCATTTGCTGAGACGGGTTACATGGCTATAGTCTGCTGCCTCACGCTACAAGTCACCCAGTGTTTTACCTACTAACATATATTGTTTTAATAAATCCTATGAGATTAGGTTTAGAACATTTCTTTTTTTATGGATATTAGGAAGAAAGGTCAAATAAGACTATGAAAGGGAAATTACTGTTAAATTTGTATAAAGGATACATGGGGTTCATTATATTATAATTTAAGGACTCTGAAGATGTTCAAATTCACATTAAAAACTACGAGTAAATCAATTTAGTGCCACAGGAAAAAAATGAAATTTATCACCTTATCATAAAGTATATATTCAATATTTTAAATATAATTACTGTAACATAACACAAAAGTCTAACAAAAAGACCATTAAACTATAATGAAAAACTTAAACATGTATACAAATATATAGACTCTTAAAGCATTCCACAATTTAAAATATAGGCAGGCTCACAAAATTCAGCTTCTAAATTAGTGTTTATCCCCATTTTAGCAATCACAAGTGTTGTTAATTTTCGGTTTTAGAACATATTTTAAAAGAAATAGATTATATTTACATGTAAGTTTGTTATTTTTCAAACGAAAGCATAAATTTTTATTTCTCAGTTTTAAATTCTAAGAACTCAATATTTATAGATGATCCATACAACCAAAGTTCTCAAGATCCTCAATAATTAAGACTATAAAGATAAGCTGAAAGCACAGAGTCTGAGATATTATGACATTAACGCTTTCAATGCTAATACTTTCTTTGAAGTATGTCTACTGAGAGACTATCAAATGCGATCAAACATACCAAAACTGTGCTTTGAACTATTATTATCACACAGTAGAGTCAACCTGCTCTAAAGGCTATCAATATACACATGAGAAAGGCATTTAAACTTTCCACAGAAATATTCTTTTAAACTCCCTGATCATTGCGATCATTGAGAACCACTGGGAAAGAAGTACCATTGCCTCTTCTCATAGATACCGGTCTCCTGAACCATTAGGAAGGAACTCAGAGCTTACATGGTTCCCTAACTAATCTGCTTCCCCACCCAATGAAGATAAATTGTCTCATTCACTTCAAGCTGAGGATAGCTTCTGGGAAGAATTCTCAAACAAATGGGCAACTTCTCAAAGATTCAATACATGTGATTTTTTAATGCTTTGTGTTTCTCACAATAATCTGAAACGCAACAGTTCAAATATTACCAAAATTAAAAACTACTTTGAATTAGGTTCACCGACTTAGGAGAACTAATAAAAACTGCAACCTTCTCTGAAAATACTTTGACTATCCAAAAAAGGTGAGCTGGCGCCCAGTTTTCAGACGCAGTGCACCAGTGCAGCACTCAGAGCCAATCCTGCCTGTCTCACTGTAGGTATTTCAATGCTGAGAGCACTTTACTTCTGTTTAAATACAAATTCATGAAGCTAAGATGTATGCATTTTATTTCCGTTTCCTTTTTCAACACTAATCAGGGTAAAACAGCAACAGTAACACATGTGAAGACACACTCACAGCATGCTCTGCAGTTCTGCAGCAAAGCTTACAGCCTTCCCTGTGTTTCTTCCACTACTCGAAGTGGCAGTAGACATCGGGCTAGCTGCAGTATTATTCATCTAAAGGAAAAGGAAAAAAAATAAAACTTACAAACATATTTAGCTATAAAAAGTACACAAGACAGAAGCAATTCTAAACTACTTCAAAAAGTACAGAAATCTTCAAATTTCAGATAATTTCAGTTCTGTAGTAAATCCATCTGTCTTCTACTTAATGTCTTTATTCAAATGAAAATTAGTATAGCAGGAGAAAAGTGCTTAGTCAGCTCAGGTATCAAAGAATCACCTACATGACTGGTACACAGTGTCTACACTATAGTAAGTACTAGAACAGAAATACTCATTAAACTACTTTGGCATCACTTGGTAGCTCTCCAGAGTGTCGCACAGCAACCAAAGTCCCATTAGCGATTCTTCAGGGAGTGTCCAGCAGCCCCTTAACACATATTCCCCCATTTCACACAGGCCAATAAAAACAAAAGTCACTTTGGGAGATGGGGAGTTGGCTGTAGCAATCGTGATTGCTTTGCGAGCATGAGGGCCTGAGTTCAGATCCCGGCACCCACATAAAAGCTGGCACAGCAACACACTCCTGTACCCGAGCCCTGAGGAAGAGAGAGGCAAGTGGATTCTGGATGCTCTTTGACTAGCCGGTTTAGCTGAAATAGGGAGCTCTGGGTTTTGAGGAATGACTTTGAGGACTGACCTATTCTGAATTACTATAAAATGATAATAGATCTGCTGCTCTATTATCTAGCATGGCACAACATACCTAATCTTACTGAACACTTAAGCATCTAGGATAGAATGTAGCATCTTCTTTGGATACTTTCAAATAGAATATTGTTTTGCTAATTAATTAATTAATTACTGTGAAGAAGTGACTGAGAAAGACAACCTGATATCAATCTCTGGCCTCCACATACACCACACACACAGACAGGACACACATATGTGCGCATGCACAGGGACACACATGAACACACACACTTACTTTAGGAGTACCAGGTAGAATTTAAAGATGTTCTTATAACTATAATACACAAAATGAGAAAACCACAACATAATCTAGTTCTCATTTGAACCAAAGGCTAAATTATGGCAGAAAATCAATAGATCAGAAGTGGGCATTATATTTTATAATCTTATGAGCAAATAACTGGCTCAATTTAAAATGTGACATTTTTCCTATCAAATATATCAGGCTGATATATAATGAAAACTAGCCAATTCTAACGTATATATTTTTATTTATTGTACACGACACTAAATTAAATAATAAGAACTAGTTAAGAGAACATAAAAGTCATCAAAGTAAGTACTAATTACCATACTATAAACACAATAAATATTACTCCCTATGTTTATATCAACCTGATAATACCATCATTTTTCCCTAAGGTGGGAATTAGAAATACTTTGCAGATTCTATGGAAGAACATCCGAACTTGAAAACACATGTTAAAACAGTTGAAAGAGAAGTCCAGGAATAACCTAATTGTACGACAGCCTCTAGAGTTGGTGATGCACAGAAGGGCTGGTCGTTGACACCACTGCAGAAGGCAAAGCCCAGGCAGAGAAAGAACTTTTCTAGGATGGAACATCTGGCCTGAAGAGACAGCCTAAAGGGTCACAAACTACATATTCATAGGAGACAGGCTTCCAACCAGTGAAGACATGCAGCCCCATCCTGTGCATCAGCTCTCAGCGGCCTATAGATGTTTTCCCATTCTGCACATCTCAAAGGCAGAGCATATTATCTCTTTGGGCTAGGAGTCACTAACTAGTTCCCCACACACAGTTCCTGGCAAATCACACAATGTCTACACAGGGTGCTCTCTCCTGAGGCTCTCTTGCTGATAGCCAGGCTCACAGTAATGGAAGAAAACATGCTTTCTGTGGAACGTGTGAGATGAAGTTAGAGTTGGGCATAAAGATCTGATTTCAACGTTTGGCTTCAGATGCAGACTGTCTGGGTTCAATCCCCAGCTCTGTTACTTTGTTAAGACTTTACAGAAGTTACTTTACTTCTCTCTGCTTCCATTATCTCATCCATAAAATGTGAATAATAGCCCTGCTTTTTAAAGATTATTGTGACAATTAGATGAACTCATACAGAAAACAATTTGGAACAATCTTGATACAGTAAGTACACAATAAATGTTAGCTATTAAAAATAAAGATATTTAAAATACCCTATCTTGATCTGACAAAAGCTTTTATATCAATTTAGAGTAGCTAACTTTAAAAATCTCCTATCTTTCACCCTCCCTATATCCATGACGTACAGGAAGACAAGGTCCTCTTCTGCCCCTTTCTCTATAGAGCCCTCTACTAACTCTTATCTCTCTCACTCTCAGGTCACTCTCCATATGGCTGTCAAATTCATCTTCATAACATGCCCTTTTAATCTGACCAAATGTGTGGAAAATGATAAAAATCACCAAGGGGATCTAGACCAGGGGCACTCCTCAAGGACAGGGTCCATGAGGCTAAGCTAGAGAAAACGCTACTACACCCAAGTGTCCAAGATGAGCAGCTTTTGAAAAGGCCACACGGCACAGGGCTCTAGTGCGAACAGCACCTTAGTTATATCATAATAGGTGTGTAGAGATACTTAAATGTGATGATGTCTGAAATACCCTGATATTCCTTTGGCCTATGCTGAAGGCTAGAACTAAATAAGGCACACAACATGAATACTCTAAAAGACAAAAGCATTTCACTCAAACTGAAACTAATGCCCAAACACATTAAAAAAAAAAAAAAAGATCTAATGCTAAGAAAAGTTATCACTTTCCTTTAAGCCTAAATTTGCTCTGTTTTTCACAATAACTTTTGAAATGATTACTATTTTTCTACAAACAAAGTAAGGAAAGAAACTACCCACATTGCCTTGTTCTGTTTCGGTTCTGAGATACCCTCATTATTCCAAGTTGGCAATGAACTTGTTATGTAGACTCCCTGCCTCCACCTCCCATGTGCTGGGATTTCAGGTGTGTGCCATCAAACTCCAGTCTGAAACTTGGGTTAAAAAAAATAATAATAATTACCCCACCAATCTATGACTAGGAGAAAACAAGAACTACAGATTTCTACAACCAGACCATCAGAAAGAGAACACACAGCCTCCCTTTTTCAAGAACCACTTAGACACACCCCACACACCCAGTGTTTTTAGTGGTTCAAACACGAGGCCTGGTGAAATACTAACCTCAAGGATTGTGTATTAACCCCAACCTCCCAAATCAGGCCTGGAGTTGAGCAGTTTCAGATTTGATACACACAGCACTGTGTGGGGTTTATAGCCTAAAGTAAGTGAGGCACTGCTGAAGCGATCTGTCCCTTTCTTCAGTTCAAATCCAGTCACCCTGTTTTAACTTTCTAAAGAGGACAGATTTCATAGAGCGAATTTATACGAAGGGCCAAGCCCTAGGTTTGATGCCCAGCTTTCTTTCAGTTGTCTCCCACTAGAAATGGTTCCTATCAAGTGTATTTATTGGTAAGAGGTAAAAAGTTCCAATCCAAATTTATTACAACCACAACCAGTCTTCCACAGACAAGTTACTTAATTTCTAAATCAAACAGGTGAAGAACATTTTTCTTGACATGATGAGCTGATAGCTCATTAGACTCCAAAATAATTCTTTCCTGTACCCACATTTTGTTTGATTTAGATAATTACTTCTTTAGACATTAACTTCTTTACACATCAAAGTCCTATCATTCCAATGCTTTATTTCCTTTCTTCTAGACATAAAAAAGTCTGTTAAAAGCAGAAGCACTCAAGTCAATTTTCACTAATAAATACAGTTAACATGGAACTGAAACCCTACTGTAATCTTCTCAATGGGTTAATGTCCTGCAGTTGTTTCAGCTTCCACAGGGATGCAGCTGCTTGCCATATTTTACAAAATGAATTCAGATGTGCAGATTGAGTCCCAGATCATTTCAACATGCCAGCTTAAATGTGAACCCCAGGAAAAAGTTCATTTCTGATTAATTCTGCATTAACCTGATCACTAAACCATATTTCCATTCTGGAAAATCAAAATTTGTTTATTTCATCTAAACATACATGTGTATGTATGTATATATTCACACAAACTTCCTTTCATTAGAAAGTACTGCTGCCAAACACAAAAAGTCCCAACTGTAGTACAGGGTAAAGACAGATATCACAAAATGCTGTGGATATGTTACTGGGTATCCGTTGAAGAACATATTCTGTTGACAACATGACCAAAGAAGACATCCCATGAACAACATTTCTTCATAGACCTCAAAGAACTGAGACTTATTATTAGTTTCTATATCCTAGAAGTAATATCAAAATCTGGGCTATAAGTCTATCAACCAACCAGCAATTAAGAAACATAATGGGAATGGCTAGTTCTGCTTTATTACTGGCAAGGAACATTAAGTCAGATCCATGCGTTTACTCAAACATCCACAGAGTCTCAATCTTAATTATTTCCTAACCTAGACATCTATTATAAATAATTTTTTATTAGAATAGTTTTATAAAACCCCAAAAGCAGGAAAAATATAGGTAATTCAACATTATTACGTCCTCCATTTTGGTTTAGTGTTAAAAAAATCAAGTTCCATCATAATCCAAATTTCTACTGATATGAAAAATACCAAAAGATCAATCACTACAAACGCAAAAACTCAAAAAGTGTAAAAGTATCTATAAAATGTCTATAGCATGTAGAATAATAACACAAGTTTTCTAGCCATGGGCAAAACATACCCATTCTTTTCCAGAATACAGCACGGGCAGCCTAGCCCAGGTCCTGCTAGAGTCCGCTTTCCCATTTGAAATCCCATGAGCCAGGATTAGTTTCTTTCATTTCAGCATTCCAGCAGCCCACACTGCACCCTTTAAGTTCTGCTCACAGCAGTCACATCCAACCTTCAGTCTGCAAACTACACGCAGCCCAGCAAAGCTACGAATGCAGCCCAGCTGGTTTATAGATGGCATCATACCACAATGTCAAAACGTCGGATGTCTATGGCTTATGACACTCTAGGGCTTCTCTAGCCCACAGGTCCAA